CCGCCCAGGAGGGCGCCGCGACCCGCAGCGACCCGCCGGCCAGCCCGGCCCCCCGCGCGGCCGCCGCGACCCCCGCCCCGCCCCGCGCCCCGCGCCCCGCGCCGCCGCCCCGCGCCCCGCGCCGCCGCGCCGGGAGGTGGGGCGGGGAGGGACTCGGCGCTGCCGCGGGGGAACCGCGCTCACCGGCTTTCCCAAGTGTCCCCCGGAGGCCCGGCTCGGACCGAGGGGCTCCCTGAGCGGCGGTGACCTGGATCGCCGCCGTGAGCTGCCTCCAGGAGAGAGTCGGAACGGGGCGTGCGGGGTAAACCGAGGCTTCTCTTCGGGCCAGTCCGAGAGGTCCGTCTGTCGGCCCCAGGTGCGGCCCCAGACCCTCGCGCTCGGAAGCCCAGAAGACCCCCGAGTGCCTGCAGTCAGTCCGCCCCGACTGGTGCGCGTCCCGGCGGAGGGATGGCTGGGCGCCCCTAGCCCAGTTCCCCGTGCAGACAACCCTCTACTCAGGTTGCAGAGCGCCTACCCCCAGGCCCTGAGTCTTGCGGGTGCCATGGGGAGGCTAAATAACAAGCGACAAGAGCCCTGATGCTCAGATGAAAGGGGCCGAGGGGGATCCACGCTTGGAGGAGCACCGCCACCTCTGGAAAGCTGCCTCCGCCCACAGCACTCCTCGAAGTAACTTGCAGCCCCGGCCTCCTGGGTGGGGCTAAGCGCTGCAGGCGCTGCTCCTTCCAGCTGCCCTTCCCAGACCCTCAGGTGGCCAGAGGACGTCCAGAGCAGCCACCCCACCGTTCCCCGGGACAGATGCCACCCTCTGGTTAGGTGACCGAACCCAGACTTTGGGGGCGGCTTCCAGCCACACAGCCCTGGAGGGGAGGTACACTTTAGGGCTCAGTCAGCAGATCTGGATTATAAATCAGTCAGGACAGGAGCTTTTGTTCTGGGTTAAAACTTGGCATCTGAGAAGTGGAGACCATAAAGTAGTGGAGAGAATTGGGAAAAGCAGCGTGGTTTGGATTCAGTAACAATTGGGTCTTCGCGGGACACATTAAGGCTCCCCCCCTTCCCAGGGGTGGGTGTGTGGTGGGGGTAGTGGGGGGCTGGGTAGTTTGGCCTTGGAGATGCTGGTGAGAGAGGCCAGCCTGACAATGAGCGTGGAATGAGGAGCGGGGCTGTGTAATCCCCTCCCATATATTTGTCCTGTGCTTCAGACTTCACCTGCTGTCCTGCTGTCTGCAGACCAGCCTCTCCACCCATCTGACCTCCCTTTAAAAAGTAGGTATTGTTTCTCTGATTTGAGAGATAAAATTCTCAGAAAGGTTCCAGTGAAGCAACCTGTTTACTGTCACGTATCTCATCAAGCATGGTCAGAATTTTATCTTTGATGTAAAGAATGATGTAGTGAAGGGAATAGTTTTAAAAAGTAGGAGAGAGGAGGCAGGAGTCCCAGCAAGTAAGCCCTGCTGCGAGACGGAGGAGAGTGGGGGCCCGAGTCAGGCTTGACCATCAGCTCCTGGGCTCCTCCTTCCATGCTCCCCCTGAAAGTCACAGCGTATCCTGACAAGGTGGGAACTTTAAATTCACCATTTCCGGCTGTTTTCCTCCCCTCTCCCCCCACCGTTTAGGTGTGAGGATTATCGGGGGAGACCTGAGCTCCTGGCTCCGCCTGCAAGATGGCCCCAGTGGAAAGTTTCAAAACATGGTTTGGTTTCACTGGCAGGGACAGTCAGCACCTCATGGGGCTCCAGCTGAGATGCTGGTTGCCCTCTCCTCTCCAAAACTCCTTCAAGGCAAGGACACAGCTTCCCGCCCCTTTTCTACCTTTGCTCATTTCCTGTCGAATCCAATTCCTTTCCAACATTGACCTACTCCAAGGGTGGGTGGGCAGGGGAGAGTTTCCTGCATGACTGCTTGCTCATGATTCATACTTTTAATAAAAGCACAGCAGGTGGAAAAGGAGGATTCCTGGGTCTTAAATTAGGAAAAAAGCATTGACTAATGCAAACAACCAACCAGGACAGCCTGAAGGCCCATGGGGCACAGTCTAGGGAAGGGTTCTTCAGGATTTAGGTCTTTGTTTTTGGGTCACACCTGGTGGTGCTCAGAGCTTACTCCTATCTCCTATCTCTGCACAGGGATCATTCCTGGCGGTGATTAGGAGACCCTACGGGGTGTCAGGGATGAGACCTGGGTCAGCTGTGTGCCAGGCAAGTGTGGCTTACCTGCTATATAAAGTTCCTGCTTTAGTCCAAGGTCTAAGTCTTGACAGACTCTCATACGCCACATTTGCTCAACCTCCATTGGTTAAACCACAAGAGTGGGTTGCAGGCCCCTCCCTCTGTTCTCAAAGGGTCTCTGGCAACTCAGAGCAGACCCTGCATTGCCACACACGCATCTTCCTCTTGCCTCTTACCGCTGCAGTCAGGGCATGTGGCACCCCTCACTTAAGTTTCCTACCATCCCACCCAGCTCTGTGGCAGCTTTTTTTGTGGGGGGGTGCACATGTGGCAGTGGTTATAGGGCTACTCCTGGCTCGGTGGGGGCTGCTTACAGGTCTACCACACGCAGAGCATGTGCGCTGGCTGGACCACCACACCAGGGCTCTCAGCCAGGGGCTGCAGTGAAGCCCCTAACCCAAACCTGCACTCCCCTGCACATACACTTCGCACAGGACATGGGAAAGCAGGCCAGTCACCCTTCAGGGATCTGAAGGTCCAGCCAGGGTGAACGGGGACATAGGAAAAGGCTGTCCTCTGCTTCCTCCTGGGGGAGTTATCAAAGGCGTCCACCTGGGAAGCCCTTCCCTTCCCAGCCCCTCCCCGCACCCTCTCCAAGAGGAAGCAGGAAAACATCCGTCATCACAGCCCCGGATGCTGCATTTCCAGAGGCCTCAATCAGGATATCCCTAGGTCTTTTCCCAGGAGCTTGGGATCTGAAAGGGCAAGTGGCGAAGTTGTTGGCCCACTGTGGCCATCTGGCCTGGAGAAGACTGTCCAGACAGGTCTCCAGGTCCGGGAAGGGTCTGGTCAGCTCCAAGCTGTCCCCAGGCCGCAGGGGTGCCCCTGGGTGACCTGGAAGTGTACCCCTCTGCTCAGATTACAGCTTGGTCTCTGGAGGGAGAGCTCTCACCAAGGTCTCTCCCCTGTGCCTTTTTTTCTCCCTAGAGGCTGAAGTGTTTGGGGAGCTGGGGAAGACTCAGTGTGGAGAGAAGGAAGGGATCCCCACGCTCAACCCCTTTCTCAGAGCCAAGGAGGGCGCAGCTTCAAGAAGCGGAAACTCCCAGTTCAGCCTCTCGGGCCTCCCAACTCCTTGTCTGCCCTTGGCAGTGAGAACAAAGGAGGGAAATTTCAAAGGTGATTTCCAGGTTTCCAGAGCAAACCGAAGTGAAATGCTCCCTGAGGCTTAACTGGGAGGGAGGCAGGAGGCAGTGTCCCGACAGGGGCAGCCCCAGGGGCCTTGGAGGAAGGCTGGCTCAGCAGCTCCCACTCTTTTATCAGAGCATCTTTCAGGCCTACCTGATGCCTCGGTGCCCTGGCCAAGGGGCCTGTGACAGAGCCAGGAATGGAAACCAGAGGAGCCAGGAGTGGAAACCAGAACAGCGGCCGAGCCACCTGGGCATCCAAGAGAGCATGGCCCCGTGTTTCTTTGACTTCTCACTTGGCAGAGGTTCCGAGGCACGGGGCCATCCCGCATGGTGACTGGTGACCCGAGCCCTGCTGCATGCTCTCTCTGAATTCTAGCTGTCCCTGATCCATGCTGGGGAGCCAGCGAGGGGAGCAGCTTCCAGGAGGTGAATGAGGCACAGGCTTTCGAGCCAGGAGCCCTGGGTTTGATCTCTGTGCTCTACGGTCTCCTGAGCACTCCCAAATTAATCAACAAATGGAGGCAGGAGAGAGCTCAAAGGACTGGAGCACCCTGAACACTGCCGGGTGTGATCTCTGAGCACTGAGCCAGGAGTAGCTCCTAAGCATGGCCTGTTGTGGAATTCCTCCCCACAAATATATGAAACACATCTAGGAGGGGCCAGAAAGATAGTACAGTGGTAGGGCATTTGCCTTGCACACGGGTAGTCCCAGGTTCAATCCTTGGCACCACACACGGTCCCTGAGCGCAGTCAGGAGTGATTCCTGAACTCAGAGCCAGAAGCAAGCCCTGAGCATTACTGGGTGTCACCCAAACACCACCATCAGCAACCTTAAGGAAACACATCAGGGAAATGACACTTCAGTCTGTAAATGGCTCAGCTGGCCTAAAGGTCCTTGACTTTAGGGAGCCCACCCAAGCTTGTGGCCCAAAAGGGCCGAGCCCCACTCAGTGGTCTGAGGTGGCTCAGATCCTGCGGCTGGGTCTTCCTGCCACTCCCAACATCCAGGTCAGGAGGGGCCAGAGAACAGAAATGTGTAGGGATCTCCTGGGGCACAGAGGCCTGCTCACTTCTCATAGGTGGCTAGGTCCTGGGTGGCACCCCTCTGGGGCAGCAGGCCAAGCGGGCGCAGAAGCTGAACGGCAGCTATCTTTGGGCACCACCCCCACTGCTAAGTCCAGGAGTGGATTTCAGAACTCAACAATAAACTGAATTAAGGGTAATTACAGCCCTGACTCCCAGCCGCTCTACAGCTCCTCCCCAGCCGGGGGCGGGGAGTGGGGAGTGGTCTCAGGTCTGGTCTAAACAAAAGTTTCCTCTCCCTGGCAGCAGGGTCTCGGGGCTGGGGGCGGGGCTGGGATCCGGTCACATGTCATCGGAGGCGAGCCCGTCGGGGGAGCCTAGGGGAGACGCGAGAGTGGGAGTCGTAGGATGCGATGCGGAAAGAAGGCTTTAGTGTGCACAGAAGCTGCGGGAAGCGGCACCGGAGGCTCAGGGGCAGGGAGGAGGAGGGCAGGAGAGGGAGAGGCAGGGTCCCGGCTGCAGGAGCAGGGTCGGCGGAACAGGCGCTGCATGGTCCACAGGGCTGGCCTCCAGTGTTTCCTCCTGGACCCTGAGCCCAAGGCGCTCCTGCCTGCACCATTCATTACGTCTCTTTCCATGGGCTGAAGTACTGGGCCTGTGGCAGAGGATAAGACCAAGACAGTGGCCTGGACTCAGATGATCAGTGGTCCAGTGCTCCCACCACCCCACTTCCCGTAGCCTCAGACACAAGCTCCCAGCCCCCAGCTCTGCCCGCTCCCCTCACCCTGCACCAGACTGGACGGGGTGGGGGGAGGGAGGCCACGAATCACTTTTCCTTCTTAAACAGTTTCCAACCAGTGACAAATGTGATCTGGTTCCTTGGGGGTTGAGGATGAGGTTGACTCTCAGGCTTTCTCAGAGACTTGTGAAATCTGAGCTCCAAGCCGCAGCCTGTGGCCGATGTGTCAGCCCCATGTCAGAGGTTACAGTGGAAGGCCAAGCAGGGAGGTGGGGGCAAAAGTCTCCTGAGACCCAGCTCCTCCCATGCAGACTGGGGTGAGGGGGGAGGGGGCCCTCACGGATCCTGGAGCCAGGAGGCAGCTGTCAGGCTGGGCTGGACCTTGTGCAGGTGCCAGGGGGCAGGCCTGGAAATCATGCTTGTTCTGACATTTGCATGCAGCCTGTGCAACAGGGCTAGGTACTGCACTTCTTGACTGGACAGCACCTTGGTGAAGATGGGCCATCAGGGATAACCTCAGGGCTGCTTGTGGATTCGTGTGGGAAAGGGGCTTCATCCAACACAAACCAGCGCATACGAGGAGACGGGTGCAGAGGCTGCGGTAGCAGCAGCGCCATTCCCCTAGCTGAGGAGGTGACCAGGTCACTGTCATTGTGCATTGTGACACCAGTGCTCCGATGGGCACGGCTGGAAGCTGGTGCTGCTGTTCATAAAGTCCCCTCTCTTCCCAGTCAGCAGTCAGGACGGTTTTCTCTGCATTTCCCCTGAAGCTGCTTTTTCTCTGCTCCCCCCCCCCCCCCCAATACACACACACACTGAGCTTCTTCCTTGAAAACTGAGGAGTCTTCCTGGTATCTCCCCTCAGCAGCTCCCTCACACCTCAGCAGCTGCGCCTCTGGGCAGCAGCCTGACCACTTCCCTCCCTCAGGCACAGGGGCACCACCTGAGGCTGGCAGAGGGCCAGCAGCTCCTGCCAGCGGATGTAGGTCTGGGCAGCCAGGTCCTTGAGCTTGGTGCGGTGCATGGCCTGGGGGCTCTCCCGGATGTGGGTGCTGATGTGGCGGTCCAACTGCATGCACAGCAGCTGCAGCTCGGCCTGCACGGGAGGCAGGGAGGGCTGCTGAGTGCCCCACAGAGGCTGGGCAAGAAAGGGAGGCTGGGCGGGCGTGGCTTGGGGGGGACATAGGGCGCGGGGCACTCAGCCTGCTCCTTCCTCAGTCCCTCCACCTCCGGGTGGGCTACGGGGCTACGGGCCTGAGAGGGCTGGGCACCCCCTCCCCCACCTCCCTGGCCTCAGAGCACTCACCCACTGCTCAGCAGTGATGTCCTGGCAGCTGACCACCACCCCGGCCAGTGTCAGCAGGCTGTGGCACAGGTAGCAGGCCTGCAGTGAAGACGCATGGTCACGTATGTAGGGAGGCACCTCCCGGGAGGGCCCTGGGCCCCCTCTCTCACAGCCCCCGTCTGAGGTGTGGCTTCAGGAAAATCAGGGCTCTCTGACCCCCAGAGCCCCTGACCACAAGGAGGGTCCTGACAGGGCTGGACATTCCCTCCCAGCTGCCTTTGGGGCACTCACCCACTGCTGTGAGTGACATCCTGGCAGCAGAGCCCCGCCCCAGCCAGCCCTGTCAGGACCCACTAGGCCCCGGGAGGGCACATTTAGACCAGGTACCACTGTCCGCAACTGGGGGACATGCCTGCCGGGCCGACAGTCACCCCACGTGGATGGGAGCGGGCAGGGGACGCAGGGAGGCCGATGGGGTACAGTGTACACATGTACACATGTCTCCCACCAGAGCTCCTGCAGGAGAGAACAGAGGGCCAGCCCGCGCAGGCATCATTCTGTGGCGGAGGCCAGGAGGCACAGAGACCTCCAGACAGTGAAGATGCCTGCCCAGCACTCTCAGCTTGGGGTGTGCACCCCCATTCACTTGCCTCTGAGATGGGCAGAGTGGGAGGCACAGCCCTAGGGGCAGGTAACAGCCTTGAGGCGGGGCTGCTGGGGAGGTTCCACGCTCAGTGACACTGCCTGGACCTCAGAACCAGTCCCAGTCCTGTCCCCTCACTTCCCCTGCCCTAATCATCTTTATCAGCTCTCTGTAGAGCACCGCACAGTACCCCAGAAACGACCAGGGTCTCTGCACAGATCCAGGAGGCTCTGAAGGTCAGAGATGGAAGCCACTCGGAGTGCCCAGCATGGATGGCCGGAGAGAGCGCACAGGATTAAGGCATTTGCCTTGTACATGGCCAACCATGTTTCCATCCCCACGACCACACTGGGTTCCCTGAGCACTGCCTGCCATGAGTAGCCCCTGAGCACAGAACCAGGACTGAACACCACTGGGTGTAGCCCCCAAATCAAGCAAACAGAAACAATGCACTTGAATTCAAATGCCAGGTGAAGAGGCCCCCGGGGCCTCCTGTGGCACTGGGGCAACAGGCACTCTCACACAGGTGGTGAGCAGAGAAGCAGCAACAGAGTCAAAAGGGGGCCCCCGTCTTCCAGGCCTGGGGCCGTGGTGCTGTGCAGGCTGGAAAAAGCCCAGCTCCCTGGTCGCTGTGCCCCTGGGTCTTCTTCCCAGGGAGGTCCTTGACCGCTGCAGCTGGGCAGGCGGCTCTCTGTCCCTCCTAGTGCAGCCCAGGGCTTGTGTGCCAGAACCGAGCACCCTAAGGCACGGCCAGCAATCACAGTGGACATTGGCTTCCCGCGGGAATAAGCAGAGAGAGTCTGCCTGCGGTCCTGGCTGTGTGGTGGGTCGGAGACTTCAGGGAGGAAGTGACTAAGCTAGGCTAGGCCTTCACAAAATTAAGGATTTGAGATAAAGCAGCAGGGGGGAAGGGCAGGGTGAAGATGACCACACTGATGCTGAAAACTGCCCTGAGTCCACAGGGTAGGGTTGCTGTGTGTGTGTGTGTGTGGGGGGTGTGTTGGAGAGATGCTGGGGTGGGGTGTGGGTGGGGGGAGAGGGGCTGGAGTGATAGTACAGTGGGCGGGGCACTCGCTTGCACGTCCCTAACGTAATGTTATAGCCTTCATAGCATTGATTGCGAGAGTGAAGCATGGACGTTATAGAGGAGCAGTTGGACTTTTTTTTTATAGGTTGTTCTAGGACCCTTGTAGAAAGGGATATTTTGGAGGCCAGTGATAGTAAAGAGGAATATTGCACTTGCCTTGCACACGGATGAGCCAGGTTCAATCCCTGGCACCATCTATGGTCCCCTAAACCCCACCAGGAGTAATCCCTGAGTGAAGAGCCAGAAGTCCTGAGCACCACCCTTGCAAAAAGAGAAAAAACAAACAGGGGTGTCGGGACAGCTCTGGGTTGGGTTGCAGTGAAACTGGGGAAACCTCTGGGAATGGGGGACTGGGCCTTTTGGGGGATGCAATGAGGCTTTTTGGTTTTGTTTTTAGAACGCATCTGGCTATGCTCTGGGCTTACTCCTGGCACTGCACTCAGGATCACTCCTAGCAGGAATGAACCTGGTCAGCTGAATCCTAGTGCACCCTACTTACTGTACTACTGTTCGGGCCCCAAAATCAATCTCTCTCTCTCTCTCTCCCCCTGCCCTTCCTTCCTTCGTCCCCTGCTCCTCCCTACCTTTTGTTTGTTTTTTGGGGCCATACCTGGAGGTACTCAGGGATTACTCCTTCTCTGTGCTCAGGAATCACTCCTGGTGGGCTTGGGGACCATATATGGTGCCAGGGGTCAAATCAGCCATGTGCAAGGCAAGTGCACTATCGCTCTGCCCCCCCCCCCCCATATCCCTTTCCACAAGGGCCCTAAAACAACCTAAAAAAAAAACCAACTACTTCTCTATAATGTACATGCTTTACTCTCACAATCAGAATGCTATGAAGGCTATAAAGTAATGTTAAGGGCCCGAGTGATAGTATAGGCTTTAAGGCATTTTCTGGTTTGATTCCTACACCTACGGTCCATCAAGCACCACCAGAAAGCCCCTGAGCACTCCTGGGTGTGGTCCACCTCCCCACTGCTCTGCCTGCCCCCACGTAACATTAACCATGGAGATGGTTCAGTTCTTTCTATCCTCTTTCTATCCTTGGCATAGCATGGTCCCCCAACACTGCCAGGTGTGGCCCCCAACCAAAACACCGATATATATATATATTTTTTTGCTTTCTTGGGTCACACCCAGCGATGCACAAGGGTTACTCCTTGCTCATGCTCTACTCAGGAATCATTCCTCGCGGTGCTCAGGGGACCATATGGGATGCTGGGAACCAAACCTGGGTTGGCCGCATGCAAGGCAAATGCCCTACCCTCTGTGCTATTGCTACAGCCCCTACACCAATAATTTTTAAAGAGGTAATGTGAACAGTCACTGACTCAGCCCGAATGCATTAGGGGAAGAGCCCCTGAGCCTTCGGAGGAGCAATGAGCCAGGACTCTCCCGGGCCAGAGTCGCAGCTTGGTGGGGGCCAGAAGGTGGGGAAAGTAGCCTGGAAAGGGTGTGGCAGGGCCCCCAAAAGGGGGGTACCTCTCAGGCCCATTACCCCCAGCCCTCCAATCCCCGGGCCGCTGTGCCACCTGCAGGCTCCAGCTGATCTGTGCTCTTCCAGGCCCCTGGGCTGTGCGCCACAGGAGCCAAGAGGGCCCTGGAATGCAGCCAGACTGAGGCTCGGCGCCCCACACTCTCCTATCCCTCTGTCGGCAGCAGAACTGATCTTTCAAGTAGGGAGGCGTATGTGGGGGCACGCCCCGGTGGGGTTGGGGGCAGGACCTGAAGAATAACGGCGGGGATTTACTGAGAAGAAAAAAAGTGTAGTCTGTGAGTATGAAGTTTCACAACTTTGTTTTATGCTGATTCCCATAACTGAATCTGGAGGGAAAATCCCCGGAAACTGTTGTGTGAGTGGGTGTTGGGGTCAGTGGGGAGGAGGGGCTAGCGAGAAGGAAAGCGAGTCCTGAGAAAAGCCCTGGGAGCCACACTCACTCACTACAGTGATTTTCCAAGTTTCGGGGGAACCCTGCAGTACCTCCTCCAACAGGAGGGGAACCTCTGGCGCGGGCCAAAGTGAGAGGAGGCTGACTAAGGAAAACTGCTCCAACTTCAGGAGAAGGGGGTCGGAAGTGCCCCTCCCAGAGGCTGCAGAGCCCCTCCTGGAGGCCTTAGGCCTCAGCCCAGAGAACCAAGACAAGGTTTGTCTGTGCCTAAATCTGCTCTGACCTGGGCGGGTAGGTCACTTGTTTGGCCCCTGGCACCACACAGATGGTCTCGAAGCCTGCCCTGAGTGATCCCTGATCACAGCAGGGTTTGACCCAAAGACAAACAAAGATCTGCTGTGGCCTGGCGTGGGGGCGACCCGGGAGCTCTGAGGCCCATCGAACTGTAGCCCCCACCTGGCCTGCGCTGGCCCCCTCTTGCCCCTCCTTCCCAAGGTGCAGAAGCCACCTTGAGCGGGCCTGCAGGGAGTACGGGCAGGACGGGGTGGGGAACCTCCAAACAGCCAGGTGTGCTCCAGCACTTCCTGCTCCGTGACCAGCCCCTGAACTCAGCAAGCCCCATCCTGCTCCCGCTCACAGTCCCCCTGCCACCCCAGGCACCATCTTCGCTCCCTTTCAAACCACTGCAGAGGGAGGATGGCAGGCCTGAGGCGCCTCACCCCTGCGGGTGTGAAGGACCCTTCTCCCCTGGTCTCCAGACTCCTGAAGGGGTGTGCACAGGGCCATAACGAAGGCTTCAGAGTCTTGTCGGAGGACTGGGTGCTTGTCAGTACAGATGGCCAGGACCACCCTCACCTCCCCACCGGGTGCGAGTGGAGACTGGGAGCCCCCAGGGGAAACGGGAAGCCTCAGGCAGCCACTCAGGGAGAGGCAGAGGCTGAGCGAGCGCGATGACTGGGACGTGCCTGGACCCAGTGCTGACAGGATGGAACCGTCCCATGGCTGCTGCCAGCAGGGCTCCAGGCTCCCACGTCCTGAGCTCCCGGAATCTGCTGGGAGAAGTTCAAAGCCTGACCCTCCTTCCTGGCCCAGAGCCTGAGCGCCCTAAAGAGCCCCTCTAAAATGGACACGGGTGAGAAGAGTGGGGAGGAGGCGATGTGGCTCTCCTGAGGGTCAGGGGGCTCCCCTTGCCATGCTTCTGTTGTAAGATGAACCGGAAAGGGGTGGACAGTTCCCAGGAACTCTTCTAGAAAATTCCCCTCCAGCTAATGCCAAGGGAGCTGGCCGGGTGTGACCTGGGTTATTTGCTCCAAAGAAGGGAGAAGGGAGAAGGGAGAAGGGAGAAGGGAGAAGGGAGAAGGGAGAAGGGAGAAGGGAGAAGGGAGAAGGGAGAAGGAAGAGGATCCCAGGAAGCCCCTAACAAGGCCCAGAGCATGCAACCTCTCGCCTTCCCTGAGGGCCCGACCCTGAGTCCAGT